CTGTCCAGCCTCTGCAGCCGCTCGCTCCTTGCCCTTTCCTCACTTCTCAATCCCACTGCACCTTATTTCATTTATCACTATTTTCTGGCATACCTGTATTTTTTGCTGGCCAAAAATTGGCTCCTGAGGAGCGCAGGGAAATGTACGCCCTCCTATATGTACCTGAAGTATAGATGGTAGAGCTCTTGAATCAAGTAAGGGCTACTTTGAGAGAAAAAGAGAGAACAAACAAGGGAAATAAACACATTACATTAAAAAAAAAAAAAGGACAAGTGCCCTCAGAGTGCTATTTGTGGTTGATACTTCCAGGATTTCAGTGTGTCTAATTAGCGGCAGAGATCCTCCCACGGTCAATAGCAGAAGGCAGGGAGGAAACATGCTATGTCTGGGCTCCGTGTAACTCTTTCATTTGGGTGCAGGATAAGTGTGTGCGTGTGTGTCTGTGTGTGAGCGGTCATGTCTCCAAAGCAGAACCTGCAGAGATCACCAGGAAGGTGCTCGAGGCTTGCAGGCAGGTAGAGATGCCAGGGAGAAATAACAAGATCTGAATTTATTGCCTGGTGGCATGCAGAAGACGGGAAAGACCAATTCAATGCCAGAGTGTGCTCCCCCCTTGTTCTTCCCTCCACCCTCCTCTCCCTGCCCTGCTGCCTCCCGCTTCGGCCGCCAGATTGCTGGCTGCTGTCTGGAAAGGAGTAGTGAAAAAGCCCTTCAAGCATGGGATCCAAAATTCACCCTTCCTCCAGCGCCTCTCTTCTCCCACCATGCCTACTTATCTCCTTCCAGCTCAGCATCCTTCTCCGGGAGACTCCAGCAGGTTTTTCCCATTCCTGCTGACTTGCACCTCTATCCCCACCTCCTCTTCCTGCCCCGGACCTTTCCATAACTGAGGCGATGAACCAAATCCCAAACATTTCCCCTGAATTCCCCGCCTCTGGCGCCGCTGCTGCCGGGATGCTCCCGCATCAGGCTGCTCAGGAAAGTTTCCGTGCAGTTATATCCCCCTTCCCTCCCTAGGTAGGGAGTGCGTTTCAAAACCTCTACCTGATTTTTAATCTTCCCCCTCCACCCCCCTAAACCTTTAATAAAGAAAGAAAACCCCAAAACAAACCAGCAAGTCCTGAGGGATTTCTGTTATAGTGGGAATAGCTCAGCCAGTGAGCATCGCCGTGCCGTGCTGCTTAAATGTTACCGCTCTGCAGAAGAGATTTATGTGCCCATCAGTGGAATATTTCCCGGGTTTAAGAGCGCTCGATTTTCCCTCTGCTGACGGGGATGGGAGACGGTAAGGCACAGGATGAGGGCAGTGGAGTTGTTTGGCTCGTAGGCACTGTGACGGTGTAAAACGGTGTCTGGGCAGCAAAAATGACACAGGTTGGACCGGGTGGCATTTCTGTACTCAGTGGAAGGCGAGGGGATGCACATCAGTCCCTTTGCATACAGCATCAAATAAATCAATGCAATTAACATGGGCTTAATGGACGATTGCAACAAGCGAGAGTCAGGCGTGGTAAACAGGGAATATTCCCACTCCCCTTGATTTCCAGCATTCAGCACCCCCAGCCCAGGGATATCTCCTTCTCACACGGGGCTGGATGACTCAGAAAAATACCCCAGGAATAATGGGCAGCAGCCGGGAGGATTTTGCTTTGCCATAGTTGCTTTTTGTACAGTACCTTGGCGGTGTTGAAATACCTCCCGAGCCCCGCGGCCCATTCCTGACAGAACGCTCCCAAACATCTCTCTTCCCTGCATTTAGATGCCCAGACTCCCTGCTTGCCCGTGTCTGGCTTCACTGCCAATGATTACTCCATCTCCCCTGAAGCTGCGTGGATCTGGGACTCCCTTTTGGCCGGGAGTTCATGTCCCCATTTCCCACACTGGCGGTGGCAGACGGACACCCAGGGAGGTGGCCCTGGCACAGGGAACACCTTTAAGGGTCCAGCCTGCCTCCTCATCCTCCCGGGCTTCATCTGCCCCGCTTCTCCGCNGATCCTCGGTGCGGTCTTGTCAGGGTTCCACCTGCGTGGGCAAAGCCCCTCTCCTCCTACCTGCGGCTGAGATCCCACAATTTGTTATTCTTTCCTCGAGAATCGCTTCCATCACCACCAAAAAAAAAAAAAAAAAAACCCTAAAAAAAAAATCCAACCTCACATTTACCCCAGCGAATCCCATCCCTCTTCGCAAGTCCTCTTGCTATTCGGGTTTGCTTCCCTCTCTCCTCCTCCTTCTCCCCTCCCTCTTTCCCCCGTTTCGGGTTTGGAGCCTCTCTCTGCCCTACACACACACACAGACAGGCACGCACGGTGTAAATGGGTTGTCACACACGCAGAACCGCTGCTGGTTCCCAAAGTCCCCCCAGCCTGCTCAGCCCTCCTCTAGCCTGAAGCCGCAGACCATGGACTATATGCTTGGAGCCGGGATGCGTTTTATTCACAGCCGCTTCGCCTTCTGCAATTTCACCCGGTGAGTAGGTTTGATTTCGCGTTCAGGTGGCTTGCTTCCAACAGGAGGAACCCCAAAAACAGCAGGGAGAAATAAAAAGAAAAAATAAATTAAGAAAAGTTTTGCTTCCCCTTGTTCCCCAACGGGCGGGCTCCACTTTCTAAACTCGAAGGAATTAGGAAGCACCAGTTTTCTGCTCACGTTCATTCCCAGCCACCGCGCTCGGCGCTGATTGCAGCGCGCACCGCAGCACCGCTTCCAGAGTCACCGTTCCGCTGCTTATTCATCACATTTTATTCATGTTTCCATCAGGCACGGTACCTGCTCCATTCCCCGGTTAACCCCTGCAGACGTGGGCGCTGGGAGGGCTCAGTGTGCCGAGGGAAGGAAAGGACAGGATTGCTGCTGGCTGAGACAGCCGGGAGCATCCTGGGGAATGTCTGGGAACCTGCGGGGGGAGATCAGCTGGAAAAGTTCATTGCTCTCCCTCATCCCCTGAAGAACTTGCACGGGATTGGGGGTAGGGAAGGATTCTTCAGGAGGCATAAGAAAGGATTTCCAGATCTCCAGCCCTGTCGCATGTGCTGGGAGGGGGTAGTGGCCAGGCAGGGGGG